AAATCTTTAAAAAAAAAAAAAGAAAACACCAGCCTTTCAGGTTTAAAAAAATAAATAAATAAATAAAATAAAATAAAATTCAGACAAAAAATATAGGCTGTAAAAAGAATAAGTATCTTCTATCCCAACTTCCAAAAGAAGGACTCCTAACAGTATTGTGCATAATTTTTCAGACTTTTTTAATGCTTCTTAAATTATATGTGATGCTTATACATACAAATTTATATAAGAAATTTTCTTTTTTAAAGGAATCTCTACCCCCAACGTGGGGCTCAAACTCACAACCCTGAGATCAAGAGTCATATGATCTACCAACCAAGCCAGCCAGGCACCCTATACATAGAAATTTTAAAAGCCATACTATACAAATAGTTGTGTAATTTGCCCTGTTCATGTAATATATCATGTATATATTTCCAGGTTAGCATATATAGATCCACCTTATCCCTTTGAATATGTAAAATATTATTTCACTGGGGCTCCTGGGTGGCTCAGTTGGTTAAGCGACTGGCTTTGGCTGAGATCATGATCCCAGGGTCGTGGGATTGAGCCCCACATGGGGCTCCCTGCTCCGCGGAAAGCCTGCTTTTCCCTCTCCCACTCCCCCTGCTTGTGTTCCCTTTCTTGCTGTCTCTCTCTCTCTGTCAATTAAATAAATAAATAAAATCTTAAAAAAAATTAAAAAAAATACTATTTCATTAAATTGATGAACCTTAATTTAGCCAACCAAACTTATGCTATTAAACATTTATATTCTTTCCAACTTTTTTTTTACAATTTTTCATATTTCTATGTATTTCATGAGAATTTCATATTAATTAACTGCTCAAATCAAGCCAAGGGTCCCCAATCATGACAAGCTTTAAATGCTTATACAAAAAATTACTGCACCCCAAAATCCCAAAAGGGTTATCTGAGACATAATCATGTACCAAATCAAAGGGCATGGTTCATCTTCCAAAAGACACGATCTAGTTACTATCAGCCCTAGAAGGTACACATTATTTCTTTTTTTTTTTTTAAAGATTTTATTTATTTATTTGACAGAGACAGAGATAGCGAGAGCAGGAACACAAGCAGCGGGAGTGGGAGAGGGAGAAACAGGCTTCCCCCCGAGGAGGGAGCCCGATGTGGGACTCGATCCCAGGACCCTGGGATCATGACCTGAGCCGAAGGCAGACGCTTAACGACTGAGCCACCCAGGCGCCCAAAGGTACACATTATTTCTATACTAACATATAACAATGCTCTAGGGAAGTGACAAACAATCATGTTTTGAGGACAAATATTTTTTGCATTTCTTTTCTTTCCATCATCTTTATCAGTGCAGATATTTGCATGAAAACAGGATCACTGGTCCTTGGGGATTCATCAGTTCCTA